ACAACTTCTATACAACGAAAGGAGACTGCGACCACACAAAAGGCCACACCATCTTGGTCTTCATATCGTTAATTATGTATAACTATGGAAACAAAATAGAACAGAAAAAATCTATATCTAAGGGATACAATATAAACTGTAATATATAGATGGGCTTCGATTGGCTTTTAGGAAAGTAGCAACTCTACTTGAGTTTACACCGAAAACATGAAAACGAGGTCAGACCACTTATATTTGAAATAGTTATGCAGATGTGTTTGAAAAGCATTTAATGTGTGTTATGATTAATGAACAAACGATCATATTTTCCTGGATTACTAATTTACTAATAAAATACTTAAGAGGTTGCACTTTGCTCAAGAAAATTGCAAAGTTATGCCCAAAGGTGATTTTATTTTAATTTTTGGCTAGTAAAACATCGATTTCAAGATAAGCCTATTGACATTTTTAAAAATAGGTTGAGATGAAGAGAGAAAATTATATGGGACAGGTTAAATTAAATAAAGCGCGAAAAGCATCTTCCATAAAATTGAGTAGAAATCGTCAGAGATAAACTTAAGCCTAATGAACTTAAAATCTTTCATTTGGACTAGAAATTGAACGTAGAAAATTTTTCCTACATATCCGACAGGTGGATCAGTCATGTTTGCAAGAAAAAGCCAGGTCTTGAAATCAGAACAATCATAAGACATGCACACCCAACGTCGTTGTATAAAGTAAAAGAAATTAATAAAGAAAAAGTGTACAATTTAAAGCGTAAATTAACTTGGAATATAATCCAACTTATTAGAAATAAGTATAAAATCAGACCAAAGCTAGACAGAAATAATATTGGCAAAACGAGTACAAAATGAAAAACATGGATCGATATTAGTTACTGAACTAAATCCAATACATATTTTTCGTATATAACCAGGAAATCAGTTATGAGATGTATTTTAAGGTGATGAAGGACTGGTAGTAGAATTTTCCCCACAATGATGTAAACAGAGCTGACATTTTCATTGAACTTCACAGACATGCTTTCCCAAAAGTTCTTCTTATCCAGAATGGACTGCAGTTTCTAACTCGCTAGATCGACCTACAGCGGGCGTCGAACCCTGACAGTGCAGCATGTGAGCTTGACACGTCAACCACTTAGCCGCATTGCCACGAGTGCCCTTGGGTCTCAAAGCAGATGAGAATTTCAAGGAAGGACAGATTTTTTCCATATCAGACTCTTTGGTGGGATTGTCGATAAAGCAAATCTATTTTTGCTAAGAATCGACTTATATATATATAAATATATTATATAAGTAGTTTGGAGACTACTACTAAATGGGTTATATGAGATGTATTCACCCTATTTCGTTTAAAGTCCATTACTGAATAAACGGCATGATTGGGATCAATTTAAACCACGTTAAATTAGGCCCCGCTATTGCTTTTAGAATTTACACCTTTACTTGATTTTATTGGCAGCTTGCTTCTTAGCTTACGTTTAGGCAAGTAGATTGCTAAAGAAAAAGGAATAACCTGACCAATTAAACGCAAGTTGCTGGGGCTCATTCCGAGGAATAATAACAGCTAACAAAGGGAACAAATCGAAATAACACCTACCCAGAAGCTAGAAGGTCTGTCCTCGGATTCCAAGCGCAGATAAAGACTTCTGATTCGTGCCCGCGAAGTACAGTAATTCGGTTGGGCGGAATAGGCTGGCCTATCGGCTGCTGCTGCTGCTGCAATTGCTGCTGGTGGGACTGTGGCAGTGCAAGCGGTGATTGGCCAATCTGACTGGTTGGTAGGGAGAGGCCAAGATTAGGCGGGGCCGTTTGGCTGGGCAAGGTTACGCCCGGGGCTGGAGCAAGGGGGCAAGTGGGGCCCGAAGATGCAGAGTTGGTATGTAATGAGGTTTGTGAAGGAGGCGGAGGTTGAGGCGGCGGTGGAGGCGGTGGTGGAAGTGGGGGGGGCTGGGGCTGAGGTGGCGGTGGAGGAACTGTAGATGAGGAGATGCTTGATGTGTGGGCAGAATGACCTGGCAGTACTGGACCACCTGCAGGCGCTG